GTTTTTTACTGATTTTGGAATCGATTTATAATATATTAATTATACTTAAATGATGTAAAAATGATATTAAAAAATTCGGGGCAAATTTGCCCCTATTTTGCATACGGATTAAGGGATAGAATGATGTAATCGCAACCGGCTATGAACAATTTTGATCAGCTGAAATTTTGGTCCGAACTGGTCTTTGCAAGGGCCGATCCAACCTCTTTGCCATGCTTTCGTCAGTTATTTGCTAATTATTGAATCATTCTTGTAAAGTTGTATTTTTCAGCTCCCGCTATTAATTAATCAGTCCGGACCGGTCTGAACCGGTCTAAGATCGGGGACTAAAAAACCTCCCAAAGACCGGTCCGGACCGGTCTTTTTTGGACCGATCCAACCCTATATAAAACAAATTACAGCAGAGGCTGAACTTCTTTGGCATAATGATCTGTGAAATTTTAAATTTATAATATTGAGTTTCGAAAGTGTATATTTTGTACATTCAATGCCATTTGTACAATTTAACTCAAGTTTTACAGTTTAAATCTGTTTGCGATTATTATTTAGTAATTAAATTTATCTATTTATCTTTAGAATATGTTTAACTATTTATTCTGGTCTAATAGTAGTGGTTTTATCTCTTAGAAAAACGATTAAGAAAGCTTTCGCTTCCAACAACTTAATATTCAAAAAAAAACAAACCATCAAGAAAAGGATTGATAAAAGTACAAAAAATAAAGTTGACAAAAAATTTGAAAACAATCCGAAATTTGTAATACCGGACTACCACGTGACTACGCTCTCAATTGGTGGTTACGCTGGAACTTTATCGGTAGATTTTTTCACAGTAGATCGATATAATAAATATCCATTTATGGTGATACGTAACAAATATGTATGTACAACGTTTTTGTTTGTCGATACACAATCATAATAACAATAAGCGGTCGGATATTTATCAATGTTATCGTTATATAGTCTTGCTTATAAGAGACTTATTCATTCTCGCCTGAACCAAATACGTAATGTCCCGGAGTCACTAAATTAAATAAATAGAGGTTGATGTTATGAGTGGTCATCGAATCTCATAACTACATTTTCAGTGCGTACACACTCCGAGTGTATACTTGGTACGTACGTATGTACGTATAGTACAAATCTTAGCTTTATTAGAATAAAGTGAATAATTATAGGAATTATTATTTATCAAAAACATATTGTTTCAATTATTAATTCCTTACATAACTTAATATTATGACAAGCATTAATGTTATTGATAAAGTGTACGTAGTACTCTTGACATACATGACACCTTTGATGTTCGAGAATACAACAGAGCCAATCACAGAGTCTACATGTTGGGCATGTAAAAAATTAAGGATAATAAAAGATTGTAAATGTTACACAACATTTTGTTATATATCGGAAGAAGTCCGGATTTTACAATCCATACTATATACATACGTACGTGCGTAAATTTTCTTAAAAATGATAATATTACCTATCGAATGCCTTGTTGAAATCTTTAATAACCTTCGAACTTACGATGGAAGTTTACTTTATGTAAGCTTATTTTCGTGTCTTCTTGTAAACCGTCAATGGTGTAGACTTATCGTACCAATATTATGGAGCCAACCAAAATTTTACGATAAAAGATTTGTAAGAGTATGTCTTTTATTATTAAATGCTGAAGAACAAGCTTCATTAATTCCTTTTAATATAATACTTCCAAATGATCCAAAACCACTATTTGAATATACAAGTCATATTACTCATATTAACGATAATTTGAACTATGGTGTCAGTAATTGGGTTAGAAAAGAAAAACTTGGTTTTTCAGATAAGCCTATAAGTGCGATTAGATGTTCTTTAATTACAATGTTTCTTCGAACAAGTAGGAAACTTAAATATTTAAAATTTGTCGGAGTTATTTATAATAATACAATGTTTGCTGAAATTATTTATAAAAACACTACTCTTATCTCTTTAAGTCTTTGTCGTAACCATTTTAATTCTGAAGAAAGAAATGAAATATTGCTGGCACTTTCCAAAAATTCTTCTCTGACTTCTTTAATATTTGATGATAGTCGGCTTGATTTTGAAGGTGGAAAAATACTTGCAAAAATCCTTTGCAAAAATACTCTAACTTCTTTAAGTATTGGACATTGCAAACTCGGTTCTGATGGTGAGAATGCTATAGCCGAGGCTCTTCGTATGAACTTTTCTCTAACTTCTTTAGACCTTAGAAATAATCTGCTTGATCTTAAAATAGGAAAAATACTTGCCGAAGTTCTTTGTAAAAACATATTAACTTTCTTAAATATTGGATGCAATCAACTCGGTTCTAAAGGTGCTAAAGCAATAGCGAAGGCTCTTAGAATAAATTCTTCTTTGACTACTCTAGATATTAGTGATAATTTAATTGGTTGTGATGGAAGTCTTGCATTAGCGGAGGCGCTTTGTACAAACGATACTCTTACTTCTTTAAATATTGGACAGAATCAACTAGGTTATATAGGGGGGAAAGCATTAGCTGAAGCTCTCTGTGCAAACTCTTCTCTTACTTCTTTAAATATTGGATTTAATCAACTTGGTTCAGAAGGAGGGGAAGCAATAGCGATGGCGCTTTATAAAAATACCACTCTGACTTATATAGACCTTTCTAACAATCAAATTGGTCTTAAAGGTGGGCGAGCGTTAGCAGAAGCTCTTCATATAAATACTTCTTTAATTTCTTTAAATCTTTGTAATAATAAGCTTGGCTTTGAAGGTGGAAAAACATTAGCGGATGCTCTTTGCAAAAACTCTACGTTGAGTTCCATGATTCTTAGAAATAATCAAATTGGTAATGAAATCACAAAATTAGGTCAAATATTTGGTATGACTACTAGTTGTCAAATATTTTTATATTAATAAACTTGATTTTTTAAAATAAATAAAATATTTTTATCATGAAAACATAATTTATAGAAACACTATGCAATGTTTCTACAGATATACACTATAGATGCAGACATTTGTATATATTTCTTATATTAAGTTTTTCAACAATTAGTAATCCAAATTAAGTCAAATTTCTACATATTGTAGAAAGATGCTTGTTCTATGATATATAAAGGATTTGTTTTTGAGGAACTTGACATATAAAATAGGCTATAGGCTTACTTACGTATTATGTAATAAATATCTCTCTTTAATATGCAATAATTTGATGCATTTAGATCACTAGTTATCAAGAAGAAAAATTTAAAATTTGAAATTTTACATAATTCTTCATAACAATTACAGTATCTCCAATAACCGATAATTCAAATTATATCAATGTTTTATATATTGTAAGGAGACATTTGCTTTATAATATATAAAAATTTGATTCAATTTGGATTACTAGTTGTTGGGAATTTAACATTTACGGTTTAGTATTTACAAAATTTTTTAATAACAATCGCTATAGAAATAAATAATAAAACTTTAATATTAGTTAAGTATATTATGAGATTTTTATAAATAATTTTTTTCTTTTAACCTCGAGATATCAGTTATCAGGACGCGAATTATTATTACTATATATACATGAATTAATCTATTTACGTGAAATACACTTTCTAACAAATGGATTGCTTTTTTTACACCTCAATAATACCCTATAAAAAAATTTTTACAGATATATTCCGATTTTGTTCCGAACAAGTCGAACCCATCCCGATCATATTCCGAACTGAAATTTGCATAACATAAATTAATGTATCGATATTGATATTGCTCCGGAAATGTTCCTAAGTTTTTTTTTAAACAATTTATAAAAAAATAAAATTTTGAGAATTCAGAAAATATTCCGGTTTGGAACTTTAATATTCATTGATATTAAGTTAAAGCTATGAGAGCTACTTAAATATCACGGTCGATAACATACTTTGTGTAACGTATGATCACACCGGAGGATCATTACATAAGATATTTTTTCATTTTTTTTTTCCCTCGTTCCTTTTCTTTTCTTTCCTTCGTTCTTTTTCTTTTGTTCCTTTTCGTTTTTTTCATTCCTTTTTTTTCATTCTTTTTCTTTTTTGTTTCTTTTCCTTTTCTTTGTTTCTTTTTTTCTCTTTTGTTCCTTTTCTTTTTCTTTGTTTATTTTCTTTTCCTTCGTTTCTTTTCTTTTTCTTCGTACCTTTTTTCTTGTTCCATTTCTTTTCTTTGTCCCTTTTTTTTTCCTTTGTTCCTTTTTTTTTCTTCATTCCTTTTCTTTTTCTTCGTCTCATTTTTTATCTTTGCTTCTTTTTTTTTCTTTTGTCCCTTTTTTTTCTTTCATTTCTTTCTTTTCCTTCGTCCTATTTTTTATCTTTGCTTCTTTCTTCTCTTTGTCCCTTTTTTTTTTCTTTCGTTTCTTTTCTTTTCTTTCGTTTCTTTTCTTTTCTCTCATTTCTTTTTCTTCGTCTCTTTTCTTTTACCTCTTTCCTTTTCTTTCGCCTTTTTTTCTTTTGTATTTCCCTTTTCTTTTGTTCCTTCACATCCATTTTATTTCTTTTATTCTCTCTATTTTCTTTTGCTTATTTTTTTCGTCTTTTTATTCTTTTCTTTTTTGTTTCTTTTTTTATTTCTTTTTTCATTTCTTTTATTATTTTCTTTTTTTCTGTCTCATTCTTTTCTTTTTGTCGTTTTCTTTTTTATGATTACTAATATTATTTTTTTCTATAGATCTTTCTATAGTGTCTCTACGGCTTGTATTGAAATCGGCATAGTTGAAGAATTATTGGTGTGTATTTCGTACGTTTTGCACTTTGTTATTTTGAAATCGCTGTTATTGGAGGATCATTGGTAAGGGTTTTGTACTTTTCGCGTTGTTATGTTGGACTTATCACAGTTGGGCCGTGTTATTTTAGAGTTACTATAGTTGAGTTAATTACTAGTTTGTCATTGTTTTATGTAATGTGTATCGTTAGTAGAAAAGACTAGATGATTAGAGTTAATTTTAAAATTGTACTTTCTAGCTTTAATATAATAAAAAAAATAATCGTGAAATAATTTTATTTTGTTCATAATTTATTCAAAAAATAATCACGATAAAATCTGGTTATTATCGGATTTTTTTTCTAAATAATCGGATTAGTTCCGGAATATTAAGGTAAATAAGTGTTCCGGAAAATGCTCATTTTCTGGAACATTTCCGGAATATAAAATCGGAAAATTTTCTGAAAATTTTCTGAAATAAAAATCCGGAATATTTTCGGAATATAATAATGAAATTTTTTTTTATAGGGGGGTAGTTTATACGATAAACCAAAGAAAGTATTTAAACAAAAAATTAAGCCAATAATTTCTATACTGATAATATAATATAATATAATATTAATTTTCTATATAAATTTCTTATCTTTCAGTAAATACATTAAACCTTGGTGACGAAGTCGCCATATATGCAAGTTCTATTTATGTATTGTTAATTGATAATCTAAGTCTTTATTTAATGCTAGTATAAGCCCCTTTTAATTCGATATCCGTTGGTTTGAATATAAGTGTGTAAATGCTTATCCAAAACTATGATTCTCTGTTATACATGCATAATATACCAAAACTATACAATACAACCCGCTCATTTCTAGCTCCCTTCGAACAACTCAAGCGCCTAGTTAACTATGCAAGATTATTTTGGGCCCGTATTTGTAATATTTTTAAAATCTTGGGTCCTTATATATAATTATTTCGATTCTAGGCCCTTATTTACAATTAATTTCATTTCTGGGCCCTTATATGTAAATTCCCCTAAATTATATACATTACAAGAGAAAATGGGGCGCCGGTGGTGTCCCTATTGCATTAATTGTGTCAATTCTGGTCAAATTCTTTAATAAATGTCATGTAATTAATATTGAGCCAGGGATTACCACAAGCAGTTGAGTTGGTGTTACACCAGGTTACCTCTTTTAATCTCGGTATAATGAATCTACTTTAGCTACGTATATGTTATTAATTAATTACTAATAACGTTTTTATATACATTACTCTCATGTAATTACAGCTGCTTTCATTAATTTTTTGACAGCTGGTAAAAAATTGTCCCAATGGTTGTTTGGCCGATTCAATAAATTATTGATTATTATTCATAGAGATAGTCTGGGTATATACGTAAGTTTTGATTTGATTACTAATCGATTTGAAAATTAAATAAAACTCACATGAAACAAATAAAATACTGTACTACTAGACTCTAAATGACCTCTATTCTCACGTCCTAAACAAAGTTCCATCTCTGATTGCAACTCATAAAATTACCAGTTAGCATTTTCTTCCATTAAAGTCTTAAGATATTTTATATCATTCCGTAGTTCCTTACAAGTAGCAGAGGTTTTTCAATACATCCATATCTTTGAAGATCTGCTAACACTTAAGTGTTTAGTAATTATTCGAACTTATGGCCCTTCTAAATTTCTTTCGACTATTTTACAGCGAGTATGCTTCAAAAATGTCATATTTAACCAGAGTTATATTGATATCGGTTATCTGATCATTATCGATTAAAGTTGTCATTGCTGCACCGTAATTAGCGGCCTTGTAGTTTTTTATATATTTCATGTGAGTTTCAATTTATTAACCAATTTAAAACGTATGTACATACGTACCTGGATTAAACTATCCGTAAATAATAAACGTTACAATGATCATGCCGAAATCGAATCGGCAAATAATCATTCGGCCATTTTTTACCAGATGTCCCAAAATTACAGCTGTTCTCATAAATTTTGGGACAACGAAAAAAATTGACCGATGATCATTCGGTCGAATTCGATAAGTTTTTGAATTCTACTGTAATGTCGAAAATCCAATGCGATTATACCGAATTCAAAACTTATCGAATTCGGCCGAAATGATTTTTATCAGTTGTCCCAGATTTTATAAGAACAGCTGTAAACCACTGAATTAAATTGGTCTGGCCTTACGTTACATCTGTTAGCAATCATTTATATGAAGGAATCAAAATTTGGCTCGATTATAAAAGACATAACAAAAATATTGTGAAAGAAGGTATGTTTGATATTTGAACATGACATTATATGTTCATTAATTGCAATATATTATATGTTCATTAATTGCAATATTTCTGCGAATAAGAATTTAAGTCTTAATTGAATTATTATAATTAATAATATTTGAAAAATTTATAAAAGCACTACTGTTATTTCTAATGAAATATATTCATCAATGAAGATTCTTGCAGAAATACTATGAATTCTTTAAATCTTAGCCATAATAAACCTGATTTTGAGGATGATGATGCAAAAGAAACTAATACCTCGAATCCTTTGAGTTTTTTTAATAATCATTTTGATATTAAAACATGGATAGCCTTAGCTCTTTGTAAAAACACCACTCTAGCTTGGGTTTAATTATCTTAATCAGTATGGAAAAGCATTAGTAAGTGCGCTTTGCATAAACTCCACTCCGATTTTTTTAATCCTTTGGAATAATCAATTTGAGGAATAGTATTAGCAAGCTCTTTGTAAAAACAATACCTTGACTCTTTTGAATCTTGATGTTAATCAACTTGTCATAAAGTAAGAAAAGCATTAGCTGAAGCTCTTTGTAAGAATACTGATTTAAATTTTAACCATTTTTATTTAAGAAAGTTGTTTTATAACTCACTCAAATATGGTTTTGGTTCAATTAACAACCCTAACTAATTTGTTTAAATATAACACATATGAACCCTCCAGTTTAAAACTAATGCGATTTATATGCTTTATTATAGTTGGAGTATTCCATTAACAATTCATTCATTTGATCATTTAATTATCAACATAGATATAATTCGTTAAGATAATAGTTTTTTAATATGATAAATCGTAGTTTATAATATATGAAAAAAATTTTAAAAAAAATCAAGAAAAAAGGTACAATAATATTAAAAAGACTTATAATAGGAAAACGGGAGATTAATTTTTAATAATCTTAAAGACTTCATATTCAGAAACGGAGAATGTTCTATGTTGTGTGATTTGGATCTCGTAATCATCTTGTTTAGAACTACAATTATTGGACTGACTAAAGTCACTATGCATCCAAAGATCTTTATCACCAAAACAAGGACCATAGTTTTCGTTCATCAAGTTAATAGCATAACCAGATCTTTTAACCCTACTAATCTTTGCATCTTCTAATAGATCTGTATTTTTAAATGAAAACAGAAAACTTTCTTCGGTTACCAATCTTCCAGAATTGATTTGCCATCTTATAGGATTGTATCCGCCAATAATTTCAGAAGAGCCGGCAACCTTCATTACAACAAAAGTAGGGCCTTGATTATCACATTGTTGATGAAAAGTTTGTGAATGGAAGCCATCACGAGTTCCACGAATTAATAATTGAAATTTATAAGGAATGTCAGCAGCTTTATAAGTAGAAATATTTTTCCTATCAATCCATTCAGTGATTCTTATCATTTGCTGAAGGGTTATTAAACAGAATTAACTCTTGATGAAGACATAGATTTACTATTAACTGTGAAATGATATTTAACAATATCATCCAATAATTCTTCAGGTAGAAATGCTTTATACGGCCAAACTTTGTCGAAAATATCGCTACCAGACATTAGACAAAATCTAATTAAAGGTAAACATTTGGAAAGGGCCAAAGAAAAGTCGGATTTGTTTGCATTCTGTTGAGCATTTCCCCATTTTATGATATGATCCCAAATTTCCACCTCCTTCATTACAAAATTATCACATTCAAGTATCGATAATAGGAAAGATTCATCAATCTCTAGAAAGTCGGAAGATTTAAATATTAATTCAGGATTATCATAAATTGTAGTAAATATGAATTCTTTTAAATTAGTACAATCATGTATTAATGCTGCTTGATGGATCTTTACGATATGAGAATGTAACCATTCTGATTTTGTTTTTATCAAATAATTTTGAATGAATTTTAATAGATCTGTAAGTGATAATTTATCAGCAGCAGCTAATATTTCTAGCACCTCCGTTATATCTCTATTATTTAATGTGATCGTTCCACTGTATATATAACTATAAAAAAATATATTTATATGTCAATAATTTTGTTTGTTCACTATTTGCTTTTATCAAATTAATTTTTATTTCTTGATCGATGATACGAAGATGTTAGTATTAAAACTTACTTAAGAATAATTTCAAAGATCTTTGGAGTAACATCAGGATGTGCTAAAATGTTGTAATCACCATCTTGCTTGGCCCATTGTTTAGATAAAGCAGTTTTAAAGTAACTACACCTAGACTTTAAGATCAAAGAATGAGCCTTAAATGTTTTCCCATTTTCGTCCTTTCCAACATGAATTATCACATCACATTCATCATTATTGGCTAATAAGTCTTGAATTTCTTGAGAGAAAACGGATGATAAATCTGGCTCAAGGGACATCGTTTATGTAAACTATTATTGATCTTTTTGTGGTGAAAGAAACAAACGCCTGAGAAAAAAGATATTGATAAATTTATTATGAGTACAAAATTTAAGTAAATTGGGATTCGCTTTTAACAATCAAATTGAGACACTTTATTTTCAACTATATATTGTGTCTACTCTCTCGGTGTATCAAGCGTTAGTCGTGTATACGCTATGTACGGAATGAAGGGTATGATCTCACCTTTACATATAAATTGAATATGTCGTTGTGACCTCGACACCAATTTAGCACGGGGTCACGAAAATACATGTACTGTATGGGGTTTTTATATCGTTATCGGATAACAATGGGT